GGAGGGAGGGGGTTTGGAGGGATCACTTCTGAGGTTTATCTTATAGGGGTACAAGTGAATCTTTCTAAGACTCTGCTTTTGATAAATGTTTGAATTTTATTGCTTGTTTGACTTTATTACAAAAACAGTGAAAAAAATAGCTTTATCTGTGTTACTGGGAATCATTTACTGGGATCAGCTTGACGAGGGCACAATGGGAGGTCAGAATATGGCTTTTATGTTCTTGTTTGGGAGCTACTAGTAATAATCATCACTCTCTTTTTTTTTGTTTTGTCTCACAATGAACAGCAGTGAGAATGATAACACGGACCTCACCCATGTGCTTCTGCAGAAGTTTAGAGATCAAGGTCTGCTCTGTGCTGACTTAAACCCAGATTTGTAAGTATCAGGTGCCCTGTGCCAAAGTGAAGATGTCCACTAAGTCACACTGCAGCCTGGGGACTGTCTTCCTCCATGACAGGTCATTCCACGTGACAACATTATATTCCATGAAATGAACATATTACTCTAATGAGTAGGTCAATACTGAACTGGCCTCATGGGTATCAACATAAAAAATGACCGGAAATAGGCAGCATAACTGCTTCCCTTTTTTATAGACACATTGTTGCAAAATGTTATTAATAATTAATAGCATTCAGGGCAGCACCTGTGGTTCAAGGAGTAGGGTGCCGTCCCCATATACCAGAAGTGGTGGGTTCAAACCCAGTCCCAACCAAAAACTGCAAAAAAGAAAAAAAAAAATTAATAGCATTCAATTCACTAATTAAGCCCAAAGCTAAAAAGGATGAAGTAACAATTAAACATGAATTATGTTAATTTTTATTTACTTTAAGAGAAAAATCATACATATAAAAAGATTAATTACATTTTAACTTAAGAGACTTAAAGGTCAGTACTGTACACCTGTGTGGGGAGAATTATTTTGAAATTTTTTCTAGATTTTAAAAACTATTATGGTGGTAACATTTTTATGAAACCTTGATTAGCATACATTTCTTCATAAACAGTTCTTTCACTCTTATTCTGATCAACTGTAATTTATGAAGAATCCACTATAAATAAAGTTTTGCTATATGAACCAATATTAATAAAGAACATAGCTCTGGTCTCAAGGAATTTACAGAACAAATGAAACAAGTGATAAAAACCAAAATGATATATTAGATGCCAGAAATGTATTTTTTAAAGTAATAAATTAAAAAATCAAGATAATAATGCAATATTGGTAATATGTTTTCTCATTTGTGATGACATATTTTGGCCATTAGTTACGCTGGTAATTCGTTTGAGACCAAATAACTATTAGTAATCTCAGTAAGAAAGAATTAATAGAAAATTAATTATGTTGGTTCACTCTTCTTCTCTTGAAAAACAAAGGCTTTTTAACCAAGGTTTCAATGGTGATGTTTTATTTCCCTCCCCTCTAATGAAACACACAGGATGTGAAATAAATCCATCTTTGAGAAATTGAAACATAACCCAGGGACCCACATGGTCCAGCCCTGGCCCAATGTTGCATCAAAGAAGGACCAGTTAGCACACAGAAAGCTATTTTATCTAGTCTCTTAAGAAGGGGGAAAAAGAATCAATGATTACAGGACAGCAGAGCATATTTAAGATTCTGTTTGGACATCTATTTTACTACTGGCTCCTTTTACACAGGTGGCAGTGGTCCCCCAAGCTCTCCAGCCCTCTCCCTCGGTCCCCCAGGGTCCTGCCGACAGCCCAGCCTGCCCATCAAGCTCATTGCCTTTCTCCTCTGTCTGTTCTCTTACTCTATCTTCTTCTTCTTTCTGGATTTATGTTTTTGCGTTCTCCCTTTTCTTTGTGAAATCCACCTTGTCTAACCTTAACTCATTCCTGTTTTGTAACAGTTTCTACCCATTTTCCTGGTCAACATAGCAAAAGGGGGGGAGTGGCTGGTGCCTGCAAGGATGCTATGAATACTTATATTAATACTAATTTATGTCCACAGTACACAGACGGAACTTGGTTCACTAGGACCCCTAAATCAAAGCAAAAATTTGCATTTTAAACGAGTAGATTTCCTTCTGTAAGTATACAATATTATGAATTCAATGATATTTATATTTTACTTTCTTAGCAGATTTGAGCAATCATTTAATTATTAGTTAGAGAAAACATTAAAAATAATATCTTAGATTCTGCTGTTAGATTGTTTTTCTATTGAGCTACTAACCTCTGAGTGTCAGTGTGAGGGAACTGTGTTCAACTTCTGATCTCTACCACCTTGTTGTTCTTAAAGAAAGTAAAGAGCTCCAGAAAAATCCACTGTGGTTTAAATATGACCTACAAGAAGAGTTTTCTCATAATAGTGGGTAATGCACACTTTACAGTTTAAAATGCACTAAAGTTATCAACTTTAGAAGCTGACTTAATGTATTTAGTTTCATTTTACAAGAGTCAAATCTGATGGGGCTCCAGTGGTGAATTCCCCTGGTATTTCTAAGGTAAAAGGATCATTTTGCTCACCTATTCTTGTTAAGGCCTTAATACAGAACAAAAAAAAAAAGGTAGTTACCAACTCTTACATAGCTATCAAACTTAAAAGGCCAACTAGGGGAAATGTATAAGAATTATTTTCATAATTTAATTTAAAAAAACATTATCATGATTAGATTGCAGAGATATGATAAGGCATTCTCATGATCTGCTATTTCTGATGGTTAGGAAAATCCTGAAGACTCATTGCCATAGGAGGTGTGATGCCTGCATGGCTGGTAACACGGGCCCTCAGTTGAGGTCAAGGGTCTGAAGTAAGAGAATGTGTGATTCAGGTGTTGTGATAGAGAGGTGAACACACCTCAAGAATCAGGCGGCCTGAATGCACATCTGAAGGTCGCCTCTTACTGGCAGTGGGACCCAGGCACCTTATTGAACCTCTGTCTGCCTTTCCTTGTTTATACCCATGTTGCTCCCAGTTCTACAGAAAGAACAATGCTCACCTCAAGCACCAGGCAGCTTTTGTTCTCCTTAGCCAAGTTCCTACCTCAGAAATATACTCATTGTTGGAACTTCTGCCTCTCTCTTCAAGAGTTCAATGCACATTGGACTGTTAAAACTCCAGGCAGCCTGTAGTAAGGTGACCTATTTACTCAGCGTGTCTGAACCCTAAAACCAAGTGACCCTCTTCACGACATTTATTCTGGAACAGCACCCCTGTGGCTGGGTCCAAGAGACTGCTTTAGGGAAATGCTTTGCTAAGTCAAAGTGTGTGTTTAGAGTCGTAAAATTTGAAAGGAAATTTCTGTAGAAATGTCAAATTCCTCATGTTATGCCCTCTCTGTCTTTCCCCTCTAAGAATGTTCATCCAGCTTCTTGGCACATCTGTCTGAACACAGAATAGGTGGAGGCAGAGACATGCTCACAAAGCTGAACTCTGCTGCATACTGTTGGGTGTCCTTGTGCAACTCCCACGGTCACATGGTTTTACTCTATAAAAGGAACTAGGAGACGAATAAGGAAGGATTTGGTAGAGACAGACAACTAACTTTTTGAAGTTGTTTATTAAACTATAAATACTTGCAAAACGTTTACACAAACATTTGGAGAACAAAGACCCTGATAAGTTTAAGAAGTAAAAACTGGGCTGAGCATGATGACTCATGCCTGTAATCCTAGCACTCTGGGTGGATTGCCTGAGCTCACAGGTTTGAGATCAGCCTGAACCAGAGCAAGACTCTGTCTCTAAAAATAGCTGGGTGTTGTGCCTGTTGTCCCAGCTACTTGGGAGGCTGAGGCAAGAGAATTACTTGAGCCCAAGAGTTGGAGTTTCCTGTGAGCTATGATGCCATAGCACTCTACTGAGGGTGACAAAGTGAGACTCTGTCTCCAAAAAAAAAAAAGTAAAATCTGAGTTATTTTAAAAGCGTACTTAGCAGCTATGGTACTCTGATTCAATACATAACCCCTGAAGTATTATTTCTATGTAAACTTTCAAGTTGCAAACTGGGGTCCCTGTAAGCTGTGCAGTCATGAAAGTAACAGTGGAGAAGCCTTTAAATTATTTTTGATGTTTCAAAAGTTAACATGGAAATTGTATTTTGCCAACCTGGCTAATAGAAATGGTAAGTTTCTTTTCTTTGGACTGGACCTTTTTCAACTGGCTAGTCTTCCTGGAGCAGCACACCTGGGGCACAGAGCCAAGCTTAGAGCTTGGCGGCCAGTCCTCCTGCAGCAGGATCCTGGCAGCTGCCTCCCGTCTCAGGACCCCACTTGCTCTTCCAGAATGGGGGGCTAGTAAGGGTTGTGGTAAATCTTGGGTGGTGTAGCTGGAACCTGTAATTCAGTAAATGTGAGTTTGTTCCCTTCTTTTCCAATTTTTGAGTAATGGAGAATCATTCTCATTAAAGCAATATTTTGATTTAAAAGTGTTAGAAAAGGTGTTTTAAGGGAAAAGACTCAAAGGAAAAAGTAGAAGCTATACAAGAACTCTGAAATAAAAAGGTTTTTAACCACAGCTACATATGGTCAACTGTTTCTGTTGCACAACCCTTCTTCAAAATGGAAATTTAATCATTGTTTCTCCTTAAATGATCACATTACAGCGCCATGCCAGGGAAAGGAATTAGCAGCTCATTGTGTGTATTAATAGCTGTTTGGTACCTGGTTATGACCGGCGGTCTCAGGACTCAGCAGGAGCCCACTGCCCAACCCTGAAAAGCCACAGGGGCCCTGGCGGTACCTTCTATAAAGTGAGACAAGTGGGCACCGTGTGAAGTAATGAAATACTGGCATTGTAATAAAACATTGTCATCAGATTAAGAGCTCAAGCTGTGAAAACAAATGTGAGAGCTCTGCCTTCTTGGCAGTAGGAGGTGATTATCTTGTGAACTCTGTTCTAGTTTGATGGAAATCTCCTTTATGGAAATACAATGGCTTTAATCTGAAAGATCACTCCAGTTCTCTCTTTTGTTTGTTTTAGGAAGAATTCTTCATGCTGGCACATGGATCCTTTTTCTCACCTGGAATTCCAGGATTCATGTGGCTGCTTGGTATGTTTCTGCAGAATTTTTGATATTTTTAAGAACTGAAACCTCAAATGATGAAAATGAGTTTACTCCATGTATAAAATCTTTGTTTTTGTTAGCTGAGTGCCTATGACTTTTTGATTCCTTGGGTTAGTTGTTTCTGGGAAGTTTTATCACATAAAGCGAACATTTACAAAGCACCGATGCTGTAGAGATTGACCACGTCCTTCTCATTCACCCTCTACTGCCTTTGATCATGAACACCCCCACTGATGCTCATTAAGCAAATTAATCCTCTTCAATTAGTGATAAGGCAGCTGGGACTACCCTTCAGAAGGAAATTTCCTCTAATTTCAAGACAGGATGACCTTAAGGCTCTTGTTGTAATTTTTATTTGGGTTAGATACAAAGAGTCAACATGCCATTTACCTCTAACTATAGTTAATTCATACAAAAGCAAATGGAAGGAGAGTTGCTACCATCACTGCCCAACCAGAGTTCTTGCCCACTGCCCACTGCCCACTGCCCAGGAGGAAGCCAGAACACAGAGACAGCAGGGTTTGCAGCAGAGAAAGAATTTAAACTTGCAGGGCACTGAGCAAGAAGATGGGAGACATTTTTAAATCAACCTCCTAGAGAATTTTGGAGCTAAGGTTTTAAGATAGTTTAGTGAATAAGGGGCTAGGGAATCAGGTCTGCTGATCAGCTGGGGATGAACTCAGAGTTGGGTAGCAGAAATTGTCTTCCTGGGTGGAGAGTCACAGGACCCATTGAATCAGGGTCTGCATATGGCCTCTGGTCTGGCTGGCATCACTTTGTCTCCCTGAATCCGGAGTCTGGAAGATAATCTCAAAGACCAGACTTAGGTTTTAAAATAGGTGCTGTTATCTATGGAAGTTGAGGAAGTCACAAATCTTACATTTGTCAAAGACATATGACTCTTGAACAGTGAGCAGGTAGAAAAAGGTAAGCCAGGAAGCAATGGCTGGTGAACTCGCAGCTATGTCTGCACCTTTGTAGAAATTAGACCTTCAGCACAGTTTTTGCTTCATGGCTGTATGTTACTTTAACACAGGGGGTTTTACCATTGTTGAAGGGAGGGCCATTTCTATCCAGTGTATAAGGGATTTCCAAGTTGAAATCTATTTGGAAAACTGATTGGAGCTCATCTCAGAGGAAATATCAAAAGCTAATTAGCTAAAGGCATGGATCTGTTAGCCGCAGTCAACAAGGCAGTGTGGCAATCCTAATTTACAGTTAAAAAGGAAAAGAACATGTCCACATGGAGAATATATTTACAAGGTTTTTCTGTTTAGTGGCCTGTGGAACACATTACTCTTAATAGCTAGAGACCTAAAGGAAGAAACTAAGGTAAATTAAAATAGGTAGAGAGTTTATTTGGGCCAAGGTTGAAGGTTGCAGCCTGAGACACACCTCCAAGTTGTCTTAGGAGGTGCTTCAGAAGACAAAAAGAGAGGCCTGAGTTCTCAAAGAAAAAATAGATAAATCAAGAGAGGGCTGGTGACAAAAGTTGCTCGGGAATTCTTCTTGGTTTACAGAAATACCATCGATTAGTGATTGCTTATGCATTCGCTGAACCATATGGTATGAGTTATGCCGTCCAGGGTATGAGGTTGTTAGGTTGGTGTATAGCTATTGGTGGTGACAGCCGAGAATCCACATAGCAAGTGGCTTCAGGATGGTTATTTAGTCCAAAGGCAATGGATATGACTGCTGTCCTGTTCCTATGCCTCTCTGGGCCTGAGCATTTAAAGAGGCTCACATTTCCCCAGATAACAAACATATTTCTTTCTCATGGTATAGTGACTTTAGAAAGATTGCTTTTAAAGTCCTTGTCTGCTTTCTTCTCTTAGACAAATGTACATGTTTAAGAGATAAAGTAATGACACAGCACCATATAGGACACTCAAAGTGTTGGTGGATCTGAGTGAACTAATAGAATTCTGCAGGTTTCCCTTTTGACCTGAACTGTCAATAAACTCTACTATCTTTGGTAATCTTTTACAGTGACCAATTATCTTTTTCTAAAGTTTTTTTTGGACACAATTATTGTTCTTGTTTTCATTTTTAAAATTTATTTTTCTTCTGTCTGGTTTTTTCCATTTACTCTTTATACAGGAAAAGAGCAAACTTCTCCTCTGAAAGTTCACTGAAAAGCAATTGACAAAGGCAGATTAATAGGGGTAAAGAATATGGATTTTATTAATGTGTATATGGAAAGAATCAGAGTGATTCCCCCTAATTTCCCACTGGGTACAGAGCTTTCTATAGGGAAAGGAGGAGATGGAGAATTTATATCATTCTTTTGAGGGGCAGGAAAGAATTGCTATGGAGGGATCTGTCTAGTTCTGTCACAGGGCTGTTAAAGTCTCTAGCTATTATGGTGTTTTGTGATATCATATTGCTTAGACCCATCAAGATCTGTTTCATAAATCTGGGAGCATTTAAGTTGGGTACACAAATATTTAAAATTGAAATGTCTTCTTGTTGTATTGTTCCTTTGACCAATATAAAGTGTCCATCTTTGTCTTTATAACTTCAGTTGCTTTAAATGTGTTTATATCTAGATAAGATTGTAACCCCTCCTTTCTTTAGATTTCCATTTCCTGGAAATAGTTTTCCATCCCTTATCCTTGAGTTTTGATTAGTTCCTCATTACTTTATCTCTGGATGGCTTGTGTTTTTTTGCCCAATCAGCCAGCCTGTGCCTCTTCAGTGGTGAATTCAATCCATTGACATTTATTGAGAGAATTGATAAGTGGAATTCTATTCATCTTTTGTTCTGAAAGTCCATTGTGTAGTTTTATCCTTTGTGCCATTGTGGAAGCTAACTTATGACCTTTAGTTTCTGGATGTTTACTTTGCTGGTGGTCCATTGTGGTGGTTAGTGTTGAGAATAGGTCTAAGTATTTCCTTTAGAGATGGTCTTGCTGTGGTGAATTTCCTCAGGGTTTGTATATCTGCAAATGATTTGCTTTCTCCATCATTTTTGAAGCTTAGTTTAGCAGGATACAGAATTCTGGGTTGAACATTGTTTTGTTTAAGAATGCTGGCCAGGTGCAGTGGCTCATGCCTGTAAACACTTTTGGGAGGCCGAGGTGGGTGCCTGAGCTTATAGGTTTGATACCATTCTGAGCAAGAGTGAGATCCCATCTCTAAAAATAGCTGGGCATTGTAGTGGGCACCCTGTAGTCCCAGCTACTCAGGAGGCTGAGGCAAGAGAATTGCTTGAGCCCAAGAAGTTGAGGTTGCTGTGAACTATGATACTATGATGCTATGGCACTCTACTGAGGGTGACAAAGTAAGACTCTGTCTCAAAAAAAAGGAAAAAAAAAATGCTGAAGGTGGATGACCATTCTCTTCTGGCTTGGAAAATTTCAGTTCAAATCTGCTGTCAACCTAATGGCTCTGCCTCTGTAGGTCAGGTAGTGCTTACTCCTGGCTGTTGCAGAATTTTTTCTTTCATCTTGACTTTGGACAGATTCATTACCATGTATCTTGGAGCAGCTCTGTTTAAGTTGAGATGACCCAGGGTTCAATATCCATCTGAAAGGAGAGTGTTAGGATCTTTTACTAAAAACTTGAGAAGTTTTCATTTATGATAGTCTTCAGTAGGGATTCCATTCCTTTGGGACAATCTTCTTCCCCTTCAGGAATACTTATTATTTGTATGTTTGAATGCTTCATGGAGTCTTGTAGTTCTCTTAGTGACTGTTATTCTTTCTCTCTCTTCTTTTCTGCCTCTTTGACTACCTGGGTTAACTCAAAAACTTTATCCTCTAGCTCTGAAGTTCTTTGTTCTTCATGGTATAACCTATTTTTGATACTTTCTACTACATCTTTACATTCCCTTATTGTCTCCTTCATTTCCTTAAGCTCTGCTATATCCTTTTTATATTCTACATATCTCCATCCAACTTTTGGTTCTGTCTTTCCATTTTCTTATCCGTTCCTTTTATTGTCTTTATCATCCAAAATTGATTCAAGATGGATAAAAGATTTAAATCTAAGGCATGAAACAATAAATATTCTTGAAAAAAGTTTCGGGGAAAATACTTGAAAATGTCAGCCTGCGGAAAGATTTTATGAAGAAGACTTCCATGGCAGTTGCAACAACAACAACAACAACAAAAATGGGACTTAAACTAAAAAAGCATCTGTCTTGCTAAGGAAATAATAACCAAAGCAAACAGACAACCTTCAGAATGGGAAAAGATATTTGCATATTATGAATGAGACAAAAGCCTAATAACTAGGATCTACAGAGAATTCAAATTAATCAACAAGAAAAAAACCAACAATCCCATATGTCACTGGGCAAGAAACATGAATAGAACGTTCTCTAAAGAAGATAGACAAATGGCTAACAAACAGGAAAAAATGCTCATCATCCCTGATCATCAGAGAAGTGCAAAGCAAAACTACCCCAAGATATTACCAAACCCCAGTGAGAATGGACCACATCACAAAGTCTCAAAACCACAGATGCTAGCATAGATGTGGAGCGAAGAGAACACTTTTAACACTGCTGGTGAGACTGAAAACTAATATAACCTTTTTGGAAGGAAGTATAGAGATTCCTCAAATAACTTTAATTAGACCTCCCATTTGATCCTGCAATCCCATTACTATGTATCTACCCAGAGGGGGGGGAAAATCATTTTATCATAAGGACATTTGCACTAGATTGTTTATCAAAGCTCAATTTACAATTGCTAAAAAGTGGAAGCAACCTAAATGCCCACCAACCAATATTATGGATTAATAAACTGAGGTATGTGTATATCATGGAATACTATTCAGCCATTAAAAGAGATGGAGACTTTACATCTTTCTTATTAACCTGGATGAAAGTGGAATAGATTCTTCTTAGTAAAGCATCACAAGAATGGAGAAGCAAGAATCCGATGTACTCTATTCTAATATTAAAGCAGTAGATGAACTCAGATGGAGGGGTAGGGGAATGAGTAATTGGAGAGAGGAGAGGAGGAAGGGGGATGGAG